CTGCCCATTTCGCAGGTGGGAAACAAGCAGCTCAGGCATGCCTGGGAGTAATGTTACCACTGAGCAACACTCTTCCCTTGACCAAACGTCAGCCAGACTCCTCCTCAGAGGGAGGGCCAGGCGTTCATTGCCTTCACCTACTTTTAACAAGAACATGTCAGTTTAGCCACAACCCCCACGGTTCCCTATATGACCACCCCTCCACCCCCATGCCAGATCAATTGCTTTTCCTCTTCTAGTTTTCAGGTGAGGTCTGGCCACCCCAGCCTATCCTTAGAGGAATGCAGTTAGGTCAGTTTATCCAGAATCCCTCAGACCCCTGGATCCCCCTCAGTCATTTCTCATACATTGACCCCCATTCTGCCTCCAGGCAGTGTTGGGAGTTGAGCCCAATTTCTTCTCTTGCTCCAAGACCTTCCTATCCCAATAGACACTCTGTCAGGTTTTTTTTTTTTATATGACTTAACAAGTGTCATTAAAGAAAAATCATGATATGTTGTTGTTGGTCACTCTCAGAAGTCGGAGATACCTTTGGTCAAACTGTAAGTGGGGATTCCATCTACTTTTCAATCTAATGGGCCGATGTCTCTCTTCTTCTGTGGGTCCCCAGGGTGGGAGGCAAGATAGAACATGTTCTGGGGATGGTATTTCCAGAGTATGACCTGAACACTCAGCCAGGCGGAGGGTTATTAATAGTCTGGCTTTAGTGCCCTGTGGGACACTAGTGCCTGGAGTGGACGCTGCTGGAGTCAGAGGGAGGGCGGGGCGGAGCTGAGTACGGGGAGGAGAGAGTGCGGGAGAGGCTGGCTAGACTCGGACGCCACGGCCCCTCCCAGCTCTCCACCCGCTCCCGGAGCCCAGTTGTTCTCTCAGCGGATTCTCAGGGGCTGGTTCATCACCTTCGAATACTCCTGGGACAGGAGGTGCTTGCAAAACCCGCCCCCAGCCCCCAGCAGCAAATAAATACAAGGCTCCCAGCCCAGAAGCCAGGAGAAGTTTCTAGGCGCACGTCCCTGAGGTTTATTAAACTCCTGGCTGTGCTCAAGACCTCAGCAGCGGCCCTGGCTGGGAGCCTGGGAAGCCTGGGAGGCGGGTGACTTGCTGATAGCCTGGTGAGGTGGGACAGACAGAGGCCCTTTGGGATTCTGCTGGGCCTGCTTGGTGGGTCACATTTGTGAGCCAGGATCCCAGCTCCCTTCTGGGCAGCGGATGGTTGGGCTTGTGGCTAACAGAAGATCAGAATTTTCTGAAGCGGAGGACTAAACTCTGAAAACCATCTCAAGCCACATCACCTTGCTGTGTGATCTTGGGTAGGTGGCTCTGTCTCTCTGAGCCTCTATTTCCCCTCAGCTCAGCAGACACCATGGCTGATGGGCAGTTGCCTTTCCCGTGCTCCTACCCAAGCCGCTTGCGCAGAGACCCCTTCCGGGACTCACCGCTCTCTTCCCGCCTGCTGGACGATGGCTTTGGCATGGACCCCTTCCCAGATGACTTGACAGCCCCTTGGCCTGATTGGGCTTTGCCTCGGCTCTCATCTGCCTGGCCCGGAACCCTAAGATCCGGCATGGTGCCCCGGGGGCCTACAGCCACAGCCAGGTTTGGAGTGCCTGCTGAGGGCAGGAGCCCCCCACCCTTCCCCGGGGAGCCCTGGAAAGTGTGTGTCAACGTGCACAGCTTCAAACCTGAAGAGCTGATGGTGAAGACCAAGGATGGATACGTAGAGGTGTCAGGTGAGTGAGGGACAGACAGCCAGGGCGTGTGTGTGTGTGTGTGTGTGTGTGTGTGTGTGTGTGTGTGTGCAACCTAGACGCAACTTCAGTAAAAGGGACCTGTGACAGACAACGTGGCACAGGTGACCTCAGGTCTCAGGAATGCAGCCCACAATGTTATCATTAGAGACACGTGCTTCTCAATGGGGGACAGAAAGAGAATGAATGTGACCCAGTAGCTGGGGTCCTCAGGGCATGGTGCCCACCTGAGAGAACTGGCAGGGACCAGATTGGCAATTTTGAAGTAGACAGTTTAATATGAAGAATAGATTGATTCGTGGAGGACTTCTGAAGACACAGGAACAGGGGTTACCATACCCCAAAGCCACAACACTGGGGTCGGGGGAGTGGGGCAGGATGAATGCTGAGTCGCCATGCTATCAACAAGAGTAGGAAACTGAGGCTGGATGGTTATGACAGCACTACAGCTGCTAACCTTGGTAAAGAGGTGTCTGCCTGGTACCAGAAGCCAGAAACCCAGCATCAGGTAGCACCTGTGTTAATATAGCCAGAGGAGGTGGCTGCATTAACTGTCCACCTGTCCCCTTTGGACTTAGGAAATGGAGGTCAGCAGAGTCTAGCATAATTTGCTCAAGGTAGCAAAGGGTTCCAACCCAGGCTGCCTTGGGAACTGAGGGACAGAAGGGATCTATCTAGCCATCTATTTATTTATTTGTTTGCTTATTTATTTATTCGTTTGAGCCAAGTTTCTAAGCTGAGTTATAAAAACACACAAATTAACCCTACTACCACCAGCACCAGCAACAACAAGAAAAACCAGTTAAAAATCAACTTCCTGTGACCCTTCATCCCCTGACTATCTACTCCCATCTTGCAGCTGAGGAGGCCTTGTCCCAGGTCATCCAGTGAGTCAGCAAAAGGACCAGAGCAGAGCTTAGGCCTGGCCACAGCGTCAGGCCCAGGGCTTTCCCTACCCCATTGCACTCTGGGAGAACGAATCCGCTGGGGGGAAAAGACAGAGGAGACAGGAAGCCTGGCCCCTGGTGAGATGGGCCTCAGCTTTCTGCCTCCCTTCCAATTAACAGGCCATTAAAAAGAACTTGTTCCTGGCAGGGGCCTGAAGCCAGAAAATCAATAGCAAGCCTGCTGTAAGCACTAGCTGAGCAGAGACAAGCCCCAGCAGTGTTCAAGGGGGCCTGGAGGGTGGGGGTGGATTAAAGTCACTTGGAATAGAATTGTGAACATCAAAGGTTGTGAGTGTGGGTGTGGTGGGGCAGGCACACCGGGGCACGTGCTGACGTGGGTGTGGGCTCGGCACTGGCTGGTGAGCCAACACTAGCTCGGCTGCTGGCTAACCAACAGGACGGGCTATTCTTCAGCTGTCTTGTTCCTTTTTGGACATGGAGGTCTCCACTGGTCCTCAGGAAGGGTGGAGGTAGCTTCCAACAGGGCAATATTTATATAGTGGGTGCATGGATATTAAGTTTGTTTTTGTAAACAGAAATACAGCGGTAGCCATGGTGTGGGCATGTAGGGAGGTCCCAGTAGATAATAAATGATAAACACTATGAGACCTAGGTTCAAATTCCAACCAGGCTGTGAGGTAGCCAAATGGATACCAACTAGGAGCCTCAGTTTCCCTGTCTGTGCAATGGGAATTATGGTCATTCCTGTCACATGAGGCTAGTGGGAAGATGTAGTAAATGCAGAAGATAAGTCCAGAACATCTGTAAAATGGAGTTAGTACAGCATCCTGCAGATTGAGGTCATCACCACCCCACCCTTGTTCAGTTTTAATGACGGTTGTTTAATGCAGAGGCTTCCAGATCGCCCACACCCTGAAGCCTTATCTGAAGGTACTCCTTAACAGGTGGAGTCTGGCAGCCACCAGCTGAGATCTCAAGTAGGAACCCTAGTGATCCAGAGGCTTGGGGGTGTATCACAGAGCCTCACTGTCTCTGTCTGTGAAATGGGAACACTGGAACTAAGACAAAAAGATAAATCCTGTACTTGTGCAGCTAATTGCAGCCCCAGCTATACAGACTTCAAACCCACTGAAGGTGCATGCAAAAGTTTTCTTCCCTGATAGGAGTTTAAGAACTAAGGTCTGGGGCTCCCTGCAAAAGCAGCTTTTAAAGGGGAGCCAGGGAGCAGAGTCAGTATCCTACCTACATCATGCAATAAGCACAAGCAGTTCAGACCAGACCTTTGCTCACTGACCACTCGGATTGGCTTACTGGGAGGTTACTCATGATGCTTTTTAGAAGTGTGGGTAGGTATGTAACATCACCCCTGCCCATTTTACAGATAGTGAAACTGAGGCAGGCCTACAGAGGCTAACTCACCCAGCACGACCAACCACCTACTTCCTCTCTGGCAGTATATAATATTTTAAAGATAGTCCCGGCCTAGAGGTTCACTGACTGACTCTAGTTCTGACTGTGAAGCTGTTTAGACTTCCCACCCTCAATCCTGGAACTCAGCATCAATGCTGCCTCACAAAGAAGGGGGCTAGGTCAGATTTGCCTCATCATCTGCTTCCGGGTGTCTAGGGAATGGATGAAAGGTTGTTCTGAATTGCAGATGATGCCCGATGAGCCAGAATCATAAGTAAGCCTCTGCCTCATTGCAGGGCTTCTCAGAGCCTCCCCTTGTCCATACAGTTTACAGATATTAAGAGTCAGCCCCATCTTATCTGACCATGTAGGAAGACCCCGCTCCAGGAAAGTGTTTGGAAAATGTGGGTTCATGATTTCCATCACGAATCACCTTCCCCTACCCCTACCCTGCAGCCACCAGCCAAGAATGATCCCTTCTGGGCCAGGCCTTGGTTAAGGAAAGACTGGAAAGGTTTTGCCTTGGTCCCAGGGCTTCTCCTCTCCCTGGAAACAGCACCTTTCCTTGATGGGTCTTCTCACAACTCTGCCCCATAGTGCAGCCACAGCTCTTTAGGACACCTGAGAAATGTCACAGTTGCAAGAGATCTGTTCTGTCCTGGGATTGGCAGAGGTCTTTCTGTACAAACAGTCATCATTTCTTTCTTCTGTGTACAAAAAGGAAAACAGTCTGATGGTATAAGACATAAATCAGAAAGCAAGCTAATAAATGTTTAACATCAGATGCCCAAGAAGCAATGCTAGTTTAACATCAGATGCCCAATAAGCAATGCACTTATGCAAATGAATGCCAAGATGACCCGCCTCTTTCACAGGCCCTCATTATGGAAACCTTGGAGTCTTTCCTGCCCAGAGACCCTCCCTCCCTCCCCCTGGCCTGCACCCCTTTTCAGAACATGGATTCTGAGGAGCCCCATTTCCCTAAACGTCAAAGTGAGTGACAAGGCTCAGCTGTGCAACTTGCACAGGCTGTGTGGCTCACTCCATGGCTTCTCCCAGGGCTCCGGTAACATCATTTTCAGAACATTTTAGAGAAGAGCAGACTGAGACTCAGAGAAGGGTAGAGCCCTGTCAGGAAACGTCTGAGCAGGGATTGGCATCCTGCTCCCAGGACTCTGGCACCCTTTGCTCTGTCATTTTCAGGGTGTTTGGCCTCAGGCACATCACCTGACAGGGCATGTTCAGGGTGGTGTGGCCACAGACTTAGGAACCTCTCTGAATTTCAGTTTGTCTATCCATACAGTGGTGGTAATAAAGTTCCTGCCTAAAGGAGTTGGCATAAGTGAGTTGCTGAGAAGGGTGGTTGACACCAAGTCCAGACTACACAGGTGCTCCTTGGCTTACTGTGAGAGGAGGGCCCCAGAGACCCCATCATAAATCCCAAGTATCCCAAGCCGAAATGCACTGGGTCAATATGCCTGACCTACCAAACGTTACAGCCGAGCCCCGCTTCCCTGAAACTGGCCTGCTGTTAGGCAAAATCATCCCACACAATGTTGATTTTATTATATAGCATCTCGAGTCATTTACTGAACAGATGCAAAACAACAATGGGGTAGACAGAATGACAGAGTAAATTCAGAGGCTGCAACTTGGCAGAGTCTGTGTGAGCTGGCGGTTAGTGCTTCGTCATCTTCATCGTTGCCTCCAGCAGTTACCAGGCCAGCAGAAGGAGGGCAGGGTGCAGAAGAGCTGAGTCAGAGGCCCTGGCCTGTCCCCAGTGGAAGCAGGCTTCTTCAAGGCCCAGGCCTCAGGGAAGGGACCAGAGAACAGACAGTGGCCACAGGCACAGAGCCGATGATTGTCACAGAGTTGAACAGAATAGCCTCTTGGGTTGACAGCACATACACAGAACAGAGAGTTCTGGCCTCCAGACACTGCAATTTAAAAGTGGATTCCGGTCAGTATACCTTTCCTCCCTGACATGGGAGGACAAATAGAATGGTTTTTCCTAAGGACCATGGAGCAATACAGGTCAGGCCTTAGAAGGTCTCAAGCTTGGCTCAAATCCCAGAAGTCACCGCGTTTGGTGTGAAGATCAAGTTGCAAGGATTTTTAGTGCAGAGAGGAGGCTTCCGTTGTTGGAAGCCTCGTCAGTGCCACAAAGTAAGAGGCTGGCTAAGGAAGCCATGATGGAGTCCTCCAGTGGAATAAGATGCAGCCATTAAAAATGGAGAGGTCCTGAGTTCTAGTACTCAACATCTACATAAAAGCTGGCTAGAGCGGCCTGGGCACTGGAGGCAGAAGCAGGAGGAGTCCAGGTACTTTCTGGCCAACCAGCATAAACCATTCGGTGAGCTCCAGGTTCCATGAGAGACCCTGTCTCAAAATCAAAGAAGGAGCCCCCCCCCCCCACAAGATGGCTCTGCAGGTAAAAGGCACCTACCTGCTTCTGAGCCTGGCTATCTGAGTTCGATTACTGCAAGCTGTCCTCTGATTTCCATGGTACATGATCCATACTTAGCACACAAAATTAATAAGTTAATTTAAAAGGCAACAGTAAGGTGAGTAAGCAACTGAGAATTGCTCTGTGCCCTCCCCACAATCATGCTGTTGAAGAGTATTTGGGGAAAATGGATAAGTAATCATAATTTCTCAGCCAGATAGAACTGATTTCCAGCCGGTGTATAGAATGATCCCTTTGGTATGATGTGTGATGTATGGCTGTATTCTAGAAAAATCCATAGGTCTTTAAGAAGCATTTTCTATGTCTGAAGATGTAAACAGGCTGGGGGGGGGGGAGAATGGGACTGTGGGTGATTGTGGTGTTATTTTTCCTTGTAAATTTATTTCCTACACTTTCTAACATACATATGCATTATCTTGTAATCAGAAAAGGTTATTAAAGGAATGATTAATGGTACAAAGTATTACTAATGCAATCACCTGTAAATGATGAGTTTAAGACAATTTGGACCTCCACGAGATGCTGCAATCCCCCTGGGTATTTATAGTCTGGATTCTGAAGCTTGCCCGGAAGGCCTCCTGAGTGGGAATGCAGAGCCTGGGCTCTGGAATGTGACCTCAAAAAGGAGTGGAGTGTGCAAAGGACAGGTGCTGACAGATGGCACAGCCAAGCACTAATCCTGTTTGTTTAAAGAGAAATTTAAGACACCCTACTTTAAAAGAAGACAACAAAGAATGAGGAGAGTTGAGAGGATTACGATTTGCTGTGTGAATTGCAGTATAAAAGCCAGCTTGGTCTGAAGCCCTTCTCATAATTCCATTTTCATCTCCATAATTGGGAGAAGGAGCCCTTAAGGGGCGTGGCTGGTAGTATTCGTCTCTCTGAGGAGAGGTCCCTTAGGAGACGTTGGGTGTGTCCAGCAGATGGAAGCATAATTTCCAGGCTGGATAAGGTGGTGTAGAAGGCTTGATGCAAATCTGAGGGTGGAGGGGCAGGAGCCAGAGCATTTGGCAGTGACCCAGTGAGTTCTGATCAAAGGCCAGAGCAGGCACGCACCTTCTGGGTGACCTTGAACCCACTCTGGGACCTTAGTTTGCACTTCAGTTACAACAGGAGAAAGAAAGTGATCCAGAGAGCCAGGGAAGGGTGCTGGGTGGCTTTATTTCTTCCTTTTACCTTACTGACAGATCTTCAATGCTAGCTCCTGGGACCTTCTGGCCAGCTAGGAGGTAGAAGTTAAGTAGGAGGCTGGAAATTAGGGAACAGGTGTCCCAGTTTAGCAATTGTCAACAAAGCGTCATCAATGTCCTCTCTCCTGTCCATCATATTAACTTGTCTTCCACCATCCTGGGAGGTGGGCTTGAGTCTGCATGCCAAACGAAGCCTGAACTCCACACTACTCCTAAGCTACCAAAGAAGGCAAGAACAGCTTAGAATTTGAATTCAAGCCCAAATTCAGAATGAGGCCCAAGGATACAGATTCTAACACATGGCCATGCTCCTGTCTTCCAGGCAAACACGAAGAGAAGCAGCAGGAAGGTGGAATTGTCTCCAAGAACTTCACCAAGAAAATCCAGTAAGTACCCTTGCAGGGTGGACCTCCAGCAGGCATCAAGGGTGGGACTCAACTCTGGGGTCCTGATTTCTTGGGAGATATACCCAGGCAAGGAATTGAATTCTCATACCTCAAGGGGAGAGGCTGTCATAATAAACCTGCAATAGGGGCTCCCAAGTGAGGGGGTTAGATTATCATCTCATCTCATCGGCTCAGTATCCTGTGAAGAGGGCATTGACCCCACCAGAGAACAGAGAGGCAAAATGATTGTCTGTCTTACGCTTCTTACTGGAATGCTCACCCACCCAGGAGGCATAGACAGGAGGGTGCCGATCATCACCAAAGTAAGACCCACTTAACCCTGGTCTCCTAGTATTGTGTGTGTGTGTGTGTGCGCGCGCGCGCGTGTGTGTTGTGGAGGACATGGACTTTTGTACTCACATAGAGGCTAGAGGCAGATATCCCGAGTCCTGCTCTATCATTCTTTACCCTTTCCTCTTGAGACAGGCTCTCTCACTGAACCTAGAGCTGGACTAGAAGCCAGAAAGCCCACACCAAGCCTCCTACCTCTCTCTCCCACAACACCGGGTCATTAGCATACATTGCCTCCCCTGATTTTATCATGGGTGCTGGGAATTTGAACTCAGATCCTCATGCGCCCATCAAGTAGTCTTGCACACTGAGCCATCTCCGTGGCCCCTCCAATAAGCTATCATCCACTACAGCTAAGATAATACCTGTATGCCTGAAAATATTGATTCAAACTGTTGTCTGGTTTCCTGGGATCACTCTCACCCACCATGGAGGTTTGGAGGCTGAGGCACTGCTCTAGGGGAAAGACAAGTTTGACTTAAGGGAGGGAATTCTCGTTAGTTCTGGTCTTAGGAGAGCAGTAAGCAGGCAACCAAGCTGAGCTGATGAAGCATGGCCACATCCCCTAACTGGCAGTCCCCGTAGGAAGAGAAGGCTTAATGGAGGATGCTGGCTGCATTAGTGGCCTGGGTGCCTGTCATGAACCCTCTCTCCAATCAGCATCACTCACTGGTGTATTTCTGGCCCTGAGGTCTTTCACAGGTATCACCATCTTGGCCTCTGAAGTAAAAGTATACCACAGGAAGATGATGCATTGCAAGCCCTCCCTATATTCTGGAGGAAGTAAATCTCCAGTAGATGAAAGGGCAAGGCTAAGGTCTATAGTAAGGTTTTAGCACTGCCCCCCCAACAGGTCTGTATTCTCCTCTGATAAAGGGATACTGCTCCATTGTCCTCAAAGGCAATGGCAGATAGCCTTAGGGGGCCTCATGCAGGCAGTTGGTTGCTGAGGTTCTTATGATGGTGTCTGAGCTCCACGCTAGTCCTGGCAAAGACATCCTGTGGCAGAGAGATTGCACCAGCTGAATTCTGAGATTTCTTTCAGCCTTGGGAGCCCGCATCCCAGTCTCCGAATGCATGTGTCCTTTCCTGACCCCAGCCTCATAACCCCCACAGTTCTGGGAAACCCTTGGAAACTTCCTGATAAGGCAAATACCAATCAGTTTCTTCTTACATTTGCTGGCTTGCCAGAATCCACAACCTTCACCTCTCTCCCCAGCTCTAGATCAAACAGAACTGAGAAAGAAGGAAGGAGGGGGGGGCACTGATGTCTCTCCTTTCAGAGGCTCACACCCCGGCTCAGCACAGAATCCCAAACAGGGAAGAGCTGAGAAAGATCCAACAGGGAACATGGTGAATCGATCCATATTTAAAACCATACAGGGGGTGGGGAGTGACACACTGGGTAAGAGCTTTTGCTCTGTAAGCATGAGGACCTGAGTTTGAATCTGCAGTACCCATGTACAAAGCTGGCCGTGGCTGTACATGCCTGTAACCCTGGCATTGAGGGGCAGAGGAGGGCTGAGTGGTCACTGGCCTGCCGGCCTAGCTGAAGGGGTGAGCTTCCTGTGAGAGACCCTGCCTCAAGGGACAAGGCATTGACACCCAATGTCCTGCTCTGGCCTCCACATTCCAAGTGCACATTCCCTCACACTCACATTAACACACACACACACACACACACACACACACACACACACTGTCCAAAGCTTATAGTCCCGGAACTCTGAAGGCTGAGAAAGGAATATTGTTACAAGCTAGAGGCCCACCCAGGCTACACAGGCTATCCAGGACTAAACAGTGAGACCCTGTCTCAAACAAAACATGCCAGTTTCCTGTGGATTTCCCCCACCTCAGAGGCCATGCTGGAAGCAGCTCTGGAAAGTCAGTGATTAGATAGAAAATGCTCAAGTTGCTGAAGCTCGTATAGCTACTCAGCTGCTGAGGGGTGAGTTGTTGACACATGGACTGCCTGTGTTAGTTAGCTTTCCATGAATGACAAATGTCTGAGAAAAACATTGTAATGGGGAGAGTGGTGTGGCCACGGAGAGCACACAGCACAGAAGTGAGAAAGCACTTGCATTCTGGAGGCGCTCTGCCTTTCCCCTCAGTCTATGAAATGGTGCTGTCTCCATCATGGTCCTCCCCAACTTACTCCACTCTGCAGCTTTCTTCTCTGAGGTCCAAGGAAGTTGATGATAAAGATTGAGTCTCACTCTATACCCCTAGGACTACCCAAACCTCCTACTCCACCAACTGAGGGTTCCCAGGGGTGTCCTTCGTCTGCATAGCGTGCATCCATCCATCCATTCTGAATGGTCAGTGTCCAGCTGTGCCATTTACTTGTTGAGTATTTTGACTCCCAGCCCTGGTATAGAGACCTGGCCCCATATTAAGATAAAATTAATGGTTCTCTTAGAGCGACCTGGGTAGCTATTCCAAGGTTGCATCCCCAGCATTCCCTCTCACATGGGCTGTTAGAGAGTTGGGAGGACTAGAATGAAGTGTTGGGTGGTGGGGATTAATATTAGCAAGGTGCCCCAAGGTTAGAGCCACACAAGAGTGGCTCTGCCAGATGGGAGACATCTGTCAAAGAGTCAGGCTGGAGACTGGGATAGACTTGGGTCAGCATCAGGGAACCTGGTTGCCTTTCCCAGGAAAAGTCCCAGAGGACAGAAAATTTAATTTAGGCAAGCCTGGGGTCCTTGGGGGATGCCACCTCTGCAGAGTGCTACAGCAAACGGCTTGGGCTTGGAAGTGCATCTCAGAAGCCTGTTTGTGTTGGGTTTTGAAAGAGAGGTTTGGGGTTGCTTAGCAGGTTGGAAGCAGGCTCTTTTCTACCCCCAGCTTGGAGGAGAAACAGGAAACAGGATGCAGGAAGTCAGTAGGGAGGTTGTTCATCAAAGCACTCACTGTTCTCCCTGTCTCACACCCTCCCAGGTATCTGGTCAGTCCTTTGCTGACATCTGTGATATGCCACGGCCATATTATGAGGTCTACAGACTTAATCCTATTTAGCCATTAAAAGGATCCCATTAAGGTTATTAAACTCTCCTTGTCGATGAAGACACTGAAATTTAGAGGGGTGGGTGATGATAGAACTGAAGTGCTGGTAAAGAATAGGCTTGGATTATCAGAAAGTCTTTAAGAAGAAAGGAGAAATCGGACCAGGAATGTAAGGCTCACAACACAGACAAGACACAGAAGGAAGCAGAATTGTCAATTTTGTGTGGACTCTAAAATAAAATCTTCAAGGGAGAGAGTAGGATGTGGCTGTTGGGCTGGAGATGAAAGAGAACAGGGAGTTGGGGGCTGGGGAGCTAGCTTAATCTGTGTAGTACTTGCCACACCGGAGGTCCTGAGCTCCAGCCCTAGAGCCCTGGGAAGAAATCCCAGTGTGGTGTCTTGAGTTTGTAATCCCAGGGTTAGGGAGGCAGAGACAAGAAGATCCCTGGGATTCGCTGGCCTGACAGCCTAGCCTAATCAGGGAGTCCCAAACCCACATAATAGATCTGGTCTCAATAATAAATAATAATAATAATAATAATAATAATAATAATAATAATATTAATCATCATTGTAATTAATAATAATAAACAAGCTGGGCAATTTCTCAGGAACAATGCCCACGGTTGACTCCTGATGTGCACATGCTTGTGCACACATATGTGATCATACACACACCATACACCACACACACACACCACATACCACACACCATATACCACACACACACACACACACACACACACACACACACACACACACACACACACACCATACACACCATGTACACACCACACACACACCACACACATACCATACACACACCACACACAAATTTGATTAGCCAGTAAAACTGAAGAGGTACCTTGGGATTTGAACGCGGGCGGCTCTACCTCTGAAGCCCCAGAGCTTCCGGCTGGGTTACAGGAGCTCAGATCACAGCTTTCACACACTGTCCTCGCTCTTCTCAGCTTCACAAACTTCCATTTCTGTCCCATCACCAGCTGAGGGCTTTTTCTCCCTCTGAGATAGGTTCACTTTTAATAAAGTCAAATTCTTGCCCCTAACGTGATCCCTAAGAGAGGCTCCTGTGAGGGAAATAAACCCCAGGAAGCTAACTCTGCACCCCCTAACTAGCAAAGGTCGCTTGCCCTGGGGCCCAAATGTTAAACCAGCTCTTAGTGGGAAAGGAAAAGCAGTTAGTGTCCTCTGGCCCTAAAGGTGTCTGGGATATTTAACACTCGCAGGGGAGCATTCGGATGCAAATGAGGGCCTATGGGATCTCCTTACCCTTTTCCCACTGACTTGGGAAGTCAGCACTCTGGTGAGACCCTAATCAAGTCTACTCACACTTCTAGGCCTCAGTTTCTCCATGTACGAGGTCGTTCTTCTGGGCCAACAGGAAGGTCTTTGGGGTCTGATGTCTGTGCAACTTGCCTTTAAGTATCTACAACTGTCAGGATGCCACCATTAAGGGCCAGTGACTGTAGGGCATCCTCACACCATGACCCAGCTGCTGGATACTCTTCTGACACTCTTCCCTACACGGAAACAGGATCTGAGAAGTCAGGTCATCAGCTCACATTCAGACAGTTGAGAAGCTTCAGAATTTGAACACAAGACTCCTTGCCTGCAAGCAAGGCCCATGCTATGGTTGTACCACAGGTGCTTACTGGCTGGCACACAGCAAATGGTTAAACAGAATTGGCCCCTCCCTAGCAGTGGGAGGAGCCACGAGAGGGCCAGTGGGAGGGGCTCACAGCAAGGCTTTGTCTTCTTGCTTCCCTAAATTTGGCTTGGCTTGGCTTGGCGACTATCCAAGCCTTTCAGCAGAACCTTTGTTCATCTTCGGAGTTCCGATTTGGCATGGTGGCTTTGGGTGGACGTGGCTCACAGGGCCTCGGGCTTCTGATGACAGGAAATGACTCCCAGGGCCCCGGGGAGAGTCCTGATCACATTCAGGGGTGGGCAGACCACTCCCTGTCTGTACAATAGACAGAGCTAGTCTGGCCTGTGGGGAGGTCGCTGGTCCCTGCAGGTCCCGGCTCCTGCGACCTTCCTTCACATGGCTGGTGCCGGGGAGGCCGGAGAACATGCTGTTTGGAGCCCAAGGTTTTAGTTCTGAGTCCATTTGTTGGTGGGAATTGTGCAGCCTTGGGCAAATCCCCTGCCATCTCTGAGTCTCAACATCCTTGTCTGTAAGCGGGGCGGGGCAGTAGAAGAACCTTCTTGGCAGGATTCTTAGCAACTGAATGTGAACAGACAAGTCAGATGTGACACCTGGGGCTTTGAAAATGCTCAGCGGGTGGTGGGGTGTTTTATTCTTGAGACCAATAATGCACCATCATGGTTTGATTTCAAGTTTGTTGAAGAAATCCTATACCGTGTAGCTCCATTCACTCCAAATAACAAGTGAAAAATATTTTAATCCTTAGAACTGGGCGTGGTGACGCATGCCTACAGTCACAGTCCTGAGGAGGTCTAGGAGTTCAAGGTCATAAGGCCAGCCAGGGCTATGTGAGACCCTGTCCCCTTCCACCTCCCAAATCTTGTGAGAAGTGAAATCAGATTTGAGAACAGAAGTCCCATCTTTGGTACTGAACCGGTCTGACTTACCCCGAGTCTGAAACAGAAGCTTGAACCCATGTAATTCACTCTTCTAAAAGATGACAACATGGGGCCTGAGTTCAGATCCGGACTCCCTTATAAAAGCCAGGCACAGGCACGATAGTGCTGATCTGTAACCAGAGGTGAAGAGATGGGGACATGTGGATCCCCTGAAGTTCACAGGCTAGTTAGCCTCATCAAACCAATGAACGAGTGAGAGACCCTCAAACAATAAGATGGATGGCAAGAATTAGGGGAAGAAACCTGACACCAAGCTCTGGCCTCCACACACATAACATTCATGTGCACGCCATTGCACACGCCAATACAAACACATACATGCACACACTTCCATGCAAAAGAACATTTTCTTCCCAACAAATGCAATTGTTTCAGCTATATGGAAACAACAAATGGGTAAGATCTTGTGTTTCGCTCTCCCAGGCTTCCCGCAGAAGTGGATCCAGTGACCGTATTTGCCTCACTGTCCCCAGAGGGTCTGCTTATCATCGAAGCTCCCCAAGTCCCTCCTTACTCAACCTTTGGAGAGAACAGCTTCAATCACGAGCTTCCCCAAGACAACCCGGAAGTCACCTGTTCCTAAGAATTCAGCCTTGGTCCTTCTTTGTTCCTGTCCCCAGTGCCAGGGGGCCTCTGGTTTGGAGGGTACATACACTACTTTAGCAGAACTCAGATGTTGGGGGATGGGAGGGAAACGAGAATGACCACAGAGTCCCTGGATAATGTAGTAGTAGATGTCTCCACAGGGTGACACAATGGATGGCCTTGCTTGATTGTGTTAGGTCACAGTATTGGGAGGATGTCCCTTCATCTTGTCTAGTTGAAGTCACTGTACGGTCTATAGTTGCAAAACAAGCAAAGGAGGATTGAACACTTCATGTTACATCTTTACCTTACAGCTAACTCAAGGGTTGTTTTTCTCTGGGGACCGTCCCATCACCCAGATCCCTGCTCTAGGCTCTCCTAATGTGTGGCTTGATTGATGGAGCCTCTGGCTCACCCCAGTGTGTTTCTAAACTTTTTGTCTAGGAGAACTTATAGGCAGGTCTAATATCCCCATATGGGATTTATCAGCCACACAAAACAGTGCCTTTTGCCCCTTTCCCACATATATACGGCATGACCCCATGGCTCTCAAACTGTCACCATCAAGGACTCCGGGAACCCCTCAGTTGATTTCTGACTAAGGTTTCCCGTTATTGTGTCCCCTGTGTCCAAGTCAGATTTTTACAGAGAGCTGTCTCTAAGCAGCTCTACCAGGAACCAAGCAAAGGCCAGACAGCCTGGCATGCAGGCTAGTGGTATCGTGTATGGGGGGAGGGGCGGGGAATGTGTGTGTCTTTGTTGTGTGAATTGTGCTGTTGTTTAGGGGGAAAATAACAGTAAATAATAATAATACCAATAAAGGAGCTGATGTTCGTAGCATATTGTGCTTCATTTTATGAGAAACTAAATGCTCTATCACTACGATATACACTATCAGGAGTATTACAGCTTTAAGCGATTCCTGAATGGAGAATGGGGTGGAGGACGTAAATCCTTTCAGCCAGCTCCACAGGAAGTTTAGATGTGTGTTTGCAGAGCTATTCCTTCAGCTCTAGTCCCCCTATTCTGCCTCTGCCCATTGTGATGATTCTACACGGCTACAGTCTGTCCTCATGGTTGCAATAATAGGCTGGGCCTATTACAAGTATCTCATCCTCCTGTGACAGTTTAGGGGAAGAGACAGCCAAGGGTAAAAGGTTTCCTTGCGTGACCTGTCATTTCCCAGAAACCCAGTAAATGTCTTCTTTGATGTCCTTGACCTAAAACTGGGTTGTATGTCTGTCCAGACACCAATTCCTGGCCCAAGAGAATGAGATGATGTCATAGTTGTTTTTCTGGTTGCTGAGATAAATTCTGACAAAAGCAACTTATGGAAGGAAAGGTTTGCTTTGGCTCACATTTGAAGGGTGTGGTCCAAGCATCTCCTCCTCCTTCTCCAATTGGGTTTGGTTAATGTATTATTATAGCAACAAAAATCAAACTAGGACAGTGGCTAAATCCTTACTAGACATCAAACACCTTGTCTGGGGCTAACTGATTTCACATGTTTAATCACACTAGGATCCTATGAGTTAGGTCCAAGTCTTGTCTCCCCCATTAAAGATGGGGAAACTGAGGATTAGAAAGATGAAATGTGTCACCCGAATCACACACCTGGTAAGCAATAGCCCCAGGAAGCCTGGGACCTTCATCCTCAGTCATTATACTATCCAGTCTCCTGGCAAAGCAAAATCGAAGTTGTAGTTAAGTGGGTCCATTCCAGTTGCTGGGAAAGGAGAGGTGACATTGCAGGTTGGGGCTTTGTGTGGCTGACCACAGGAGAGTCAGTCAAGTCAGGGTCAGCGATCAGGCACAGTTCTGAGACTTGAACAAACAGGGAGTGGTGTGAGGTGCCTGAGGAAGAAGAAAACAAATGAGCCAAGGAGAAAGGCATGCTGCTGCTGTTCTGAATGTCCAGTGTTCTTCACAAGACTGCCAGATGCCTCTTGTATCCATCCATCCATCCATCCATCCATCCATTCATCCATCCATCATCTATCATCTTTCTTTCTGTCCATCCATCTTTCTTCCATCCATCTTTCTCTTTCTATCTATCATGTATCTATCTAGCTATACCCTCAGTGCTCTCTCTCTCTCTCTCTCTCTCTCTCTCTCTCTCTCTCTCT